GATTTTTTAACATCTATTTAAGCGTTGCTCAAAAGAAAAAAAATTTGATCTTGCGGTTTGATCTTAGCTAAATGACTTGACTACATTGGTCTTAAAGGATATAAACGGTGTTGATTGTTGTTGCTATTGATAGGTAGTCACGCTAAACTTGGAAAAGTTTTGAAATGTTGACAAATGGCTAGATGAGAAAGGTGTAAAAAACTGAAAAATTAGACTAGCTTTTTTTTTTTTGTTTCAAACATCACAACCGACTAATTGATAGATTCTGACTGATAGATTTTTATCAATAAGTTCTAAAGATTATCTGCTTTTTGTTGACCTTTTTTTTGCTACCAAATTGGCAAAAAATTTTAATACTTTTCAAAAAAATCTATATACCTTATAAAATTGATGAGCTAACTGTAATTTATTGCTTCACTGAGTTAATGTTTTTATCATTCTCTGTTTGATACTTTTCAGATTACATCCTAATTCTCTTCTGGTCGATCAGTATTTGTTAGTGTTTTTTTCTTTGCAAAATGAATATTTTTCTTCACATATCATTTTTTTTTAAGTAGTACCTAACGCTACGTACTCATGTGTATTAATAAAATAGCAGGAATAAAACTTAGAATAAACTTTGGTTTATAAACTTCTTTAAAGCTGCTTGTAAAAGCAACTAATGATAAATAAAAAAATTTTAAACTTTATTTAAGCTTAGTTAGTGGTGAGTTAAGTAAAGCAGATATTGTTAAGGTTAGTAGAAGAATGGAGAGAAAGCAGCGTTAGGGATTTATGACTTGTTCTCTGTCGTTATCTCAAAAATTTATTGTTAAAACAATTGATCATTTACAGTTTTTCATTGTTAATTTTATCTGTTATTTAATTGAATTGTCATATCTCTTAAAAAAGTAAAAAGTTAAAGCGAAAAGAAAAACAACAGTATTTTAAATGAGCTGTATTATGTTAATTTGTTTCGGAAAGTTGTTACAAAAGAAGGTTGCAGGTTACTTTATATGGGGCTTTTATTGATATTAGTGCAGTGAAGAATCAGTGCTTAATTCCAGATGTAAACCTATGCTTTTAAGATCGTATCTGAGGCAACGATCTCAGATCAGCATACCATATGTTGGTTTTTTTTTTTTTAGAAGGAAAATGCGTAAAATAAAGAAAAAGGAAACTTATCATTTGTTAGCAGCTAAAGTTTTTCTTTTATAACCCATTTCAGTGGAATTGGCAACCAAACCGCTCAACTGTTGCTTATCATGTCCGCCCAGTTTTTCATCTTATTTATTGAACGTTTACAAAAAACGAATAATACTTTTACGCAAGTTTTTAGATGCTTACTTTGAACAGTAAAGATTTATACTTTTTTTTTTTCTCAGACAGTGTTGTTCGAATTCTTTTTCAGCACAATTGCTTGCAACAGATTTCGAAGGCAAATGTATATAAAGTCTTCGTAATTGCAATTTCTTTGTTGTTCATTTTATGTACAGTAAAATTAGTAAATCTTAGTTAACTGTGCTGACAGTTATAACAGATTGGAAACAGCTGAACAAAACTATTGATAGTAAAGACAAAGAAAAATAAAATCATTTTATGCATTGATGTTTCGTTTTCAAACCAATGGTAAAGAGTAACCGACTAAGTACAAAACAGGAACTATTTTAATCATTGTACATAGAAAAAAATGTTCACTGTTTAGGTAAAAAATAAAAAATAAAGTATGAATTTGTCTTCCTACTTTTTTGTTTTTTCTTCATACTGGTGAAGAAATTTTTCTTATTTGTTATTGTTCTTTGACGACCCGGTTGAACATACAAATGCGGATATATATATATATATATATATATATATATATATATAATTGTATGTATATATAGCAGATAAGTAAGAGTACCAAAGTACTTTTGCGGAATACGCATAGAGTAGTGTTGGGAAGAGGAATAGAGTAATTTATACCTGTTGTTAGAAGAGTATTGTTGAAAACTTTTTATAAAGTTTGCCAAAGTACCTGGTACTGTTGGCTGTTTTCTTATGCTTACATTATGGCTATTTTCAACGTATTTGGCTATATTTACATAACCATTATTAGTGACAACAAAAACAGCTTAGTTCTTTCAGTTGATTTTTGTTCAGAAATGTATAATTGTTAAAGTCTTTTCTCACTTTTTTCCTCTGCCAAAAAAAGAATAATCTTCAACTTTGTAAGTTAAGTTATTGGCAAACTTTATGTTGTTATCTGTCATTCATTGCTGCTGCTTGACCTATATTTATTTTCTTAATGAGTAAAATTTTTTTTCAATTTTGACGATTATTTGTATTTGATACTCTTTTTTTTTGAACAATGTTCAATTGTTTTTACATTTAATAATAACGTTAGTTTTTAAACCGTATGTTCTAGGATCAACAAGTTATTCTTTTTCTTGCTGTGTCTCTTAGAACAGTGATATGTTTAAACGCGGTCAAATTTTTTAGGCAATAATCTAGCAATTTTCAAGTTTTTGCTAATTGAAGTTATCAAATTTCGCGGATAAAAAGAAAAAAAAAGGAAGAAAAACCAAAGAAAACATATTCTACAATAGATATTGGTTGATAAATGATAATAATGAAAGAGATGGATTGGGAATGGATTGGCTGATTACGCTAAGAATACTGTTACCAGTTTGTTACTTTATACTTATTCTCGCAATTGTTCGTAATATTGCCATTCTGACAATCACTGAATGTCCACCAACAATTGTTGTTACAAAACCAGTTTTTTTTGGTGCAACAAAACAACTTTATAATTCTGCAGTTGGGACACAAAGGTATGCTAATTTTTTCCAAAAATATTTGCATTTTTTCCTTGTCAAATATTATGCTTTTGTTTGATCATAGTTTCGTTATCTTTA